CCACATCGTAATGCAGTTACCACATCGTAATGCAATTACTAGCACCTACTGTAGCTAGTAGGATTCATGCATAGAGTGGTAACGCTGTTACCATAGGTACATTTTCCATTTAAATAAAACAAAACTAATATTCAATGTCAGCCGTTAGCCACGTACATGGTAATTGTATTTCTGACGTACAGTAAACCAATTACTAGAGGAACCGTTCACCGGCGCTTACTTTTTCCAAGCGTTGGCTAGAATCGTACATTCTTTTAACATAGTAAACCAACTAATCTCAAAAAAAAAACATAGTAAACCAACTACTATGTGTTCACCTTATTTTACGATCAGAGGACTGACTGCTGCACGGCCTCGTAATGGATTTACTGCTGCAATGCCTCGTAATGTACTAGTACTTCCGTTACCATGTACGCTGATATGATTACCGTCATTAGTAGATGGTGGGTTCAAGCGTCTAGTGTTGCGGGGCGGAGATGGGGCGCTGACTACGGTAAAAGAATTTAATCAATTACTATTTTTTGTATTGCTTGTTACTTCCATTTCCTAATCCCTATAGGGACAGGAACAAGCGGCCCGTCGGGTCGGTCATTAGCGACCAGCGCGTACGATTAGGCGTTTTGCGCTCTCGCGCAGTTTAGCGCTACCGTATATATATATATATATATATATAGGAAAATGGGTTAGTACTCCTAGAAGTACATACTCCCTCCCGCTAGCGACACCAGACCCGCTTAACTTTTTCAATATGGGAAATAAATAGATCTGATGCTAATTATTTCTTTCCAGCACGCCGTAATTAGTTGACGTGATCCTATTCTTTGGGGAAAGTCGTTCCTATACAGCTATACTGCCATAAACGAGACTCTGACGCACGGCGAGACGTGAAGCGGGAGATTGGAATCATAGGATCTCAACTCCAACGCGGCTCGTCGATGGGCGCCGTCGGCCGCGGCGACTCCCCGTGCAAGCGCTACATGGACCGGCAGCTGGCGGTGAAGACATATGTTGGTGGCAGCGAGC